CTGTTGTATCATTTACGTAAACGTATACATGTAATAAACAAAGCTAAACGAGTGCGATGATCTTATGTTTATCGTACGCTTGACATCGACGCACCTTGATTTGGAAACACTGACATAAAGGTATTATTTCTATTTGAAAGGAGGGTTTGTAGTATTGACAACGTCAACTTTTTCCCATTTGTAACTGCGGTTTCGGTATTTGGCTAAATTTTGATGCGGTATTGCGGTATTCTCGCGCTACCACATGCGGTATTGCGGTATTCGTACCCCCCTTACGCCCCCCTCTTTACGTGCGTACGTGCATAAAATTTACGTTCGCAAATAAAATAGAGGCAATGTAAGAAAAGTCGCACGTAAGAATAGATGTAGAACCTCGCTCAACTTCACGTTTAATCTCAACACTTTATATTTTGCAAAATTTACGTGCCTTGACGTGCGTAGCCAAAAACGCGTTAGTGAAAATCAACCTTAAGAGAGTTCCAGAGCTTTGCAGCTTCGTGCTTGATGGACTCGAGTCTATAAGTGGTTGTCCTAGGTTCAAGTGAGCTTAGTACATTATTCCCTCTTAAAAAATATTTGGAACTGCGAAGAGAGAACAGTTTCTTAAGATATTTAGGATGCGCAGAGACAAAGAAGCTTTTAAACACTACAAAAATAATGAATAAGCATTTTGTGATTTCTTCCACTGTACAAAGATGTTGTCTTAGCCTTCTTTAGCAACTCGTCATAACAAGAATATACATCATTAAATATAAATCTCAAATGCGTTTATTCAAAAGCTCTAGTTTATCACGATTTCTCGGGACAGAAGTCCCATAAAAGTGAACTATAATGAAAGTGCGGTAGCACAAACGCCTTATACAAGTCTGAATTGGTTGTTAACCTTATGGCATATTTTTGAGATGTGACAATTAAAGTCTAAATTATTGTTAATAGTGACGCCTAATAAGTCAATCCCTGAACATCGGTAATTAGTGGAGACCACACGGATGTAAAGAAAGTATTCGAAAGTTAGCGAGTTTGTGAACACCACTTTGTCTCTGGAAAGCCGTTACCGAATCGAACTGGGACAAATTTAACGTCCATAGGGTACTTTTTTAGGTAAAAAAGTGCACAAGGCGGAACACATCGACGCAGCATTGAAGAGAACTGTTAGAGCAAAGGCCTGACGGAAATTTGATATTGAACAACAAGAGCTAGAGTTTATCAGAAAGCAAATGCTCTTGGACCAAGGCGGCGAACAGTTATCTCAAATAAACTTTACTGGTGCTTTAGCGAGTACTTTATTGTAAACGGTCGAAGATCGTAGTGAAGTACATGTACAGCTGGAAGCCCCTGTTACTGAAGAGCCCAACATGCGTATGAATGTTGACAGTGATGAAAGTATGGTGGACAAGGAGACACAAACGGAAGAGCTCAATGCTACATTTTCAGTTTCAGATGCTAAGACCCATAATGAAGAATTTGCTGTATTTCCAGTATCGGACACTGAAGCCCTGACTGAAGAATTTGACTATATGTGACCTCTCACGCGAAAACGTACACTAACGGCTTCCCGTTTTCGAACGGAAATCCGTTCACAAGCCGTTTCTCATCCGTTCAGAAAAAATTTGCATCCGTTCGAACGGCTTGGGCGATCCGTTTAAAAAGGAAGTCAAGCCGTTCGAACGGCTGTGTCATCCGTTCACAAAAATTGCCCAACCGTTCGAACGGCTAGTGTACCCGTTCGGGAAAAATTTGCATCCGTTTGAGCGGTTTGGTCATCCGTTCACAAAAATCATCCATCCGTTCGAACGGCTTGTGCCATCCGTTCAGAAAAATTGTCTATCCGTTCAAACGGCTGTGGCACCCGTTCAGAAAAATTATCCACCCGTTCAAAACTTCAATCAGTTGGAACCGTTCGTTCAAACGCCTTGGATCATAATTAATTTTACGCTGTTCAGATGGCCTTATGCAGTGCCTTGTGGCCGGTCGTTTGCCATCATTTGAGGTTGTTCACAGGTAAGAGAGTTGGACATTGACCGTTGCAGCAGAAAAACAACTTGATGGTTGCTACACAAGACTCTTATGTACTGCCCTCGGCATAAGCTGGAACGGTCATTTATCTAACATAGAGCTCTGTGGGGACCTGCCTCCATTTTTAACAATTCTCCAGATGCACCACAGGCACGGCCTCTGTCGGAGAAGCAAGAATGAGATTGTTTCCCAACTTCTTCTTTGAGAACCAAAACACGGCAGATGCGCAAGGGAACGCCCAGCAACAACATTCTTTGACCAGCTGCAGAGTGATACCGGTCATATGAGACCAAAAAATTCCATCTATCATACCTAACAGAGGGTAATGGGACAGCTTTGCTTGCGCGGGCAGGTCCATTGCCAAAATTTTCCCCAAACTCACACCAGTGAGCCTGCTCAAGGCTTATGGTTACAGAAAATTTCCACTTAAACTTTATCTTATTTATTAATTGTTTATGTTTTCTTGAAACCAGGCACAAGCCCTTGATGACAATCCTGTGTGCATATTAGTTATTGTAAGACTTAATTAAAAAACCAAAAGTATGGAAACTTGGCATTTTTTATATTAAAGGCACGCAACAAAATTAGGCTTTACTCCAGAAACATCAAATGTTTCAGTTGTATAAACGATAGATATAGTTCTTTTCAGAGATAGTTTTCCACAATTCCCTAAAGTAATAATTACATGTATTTAGATTTTTTCTGTGAAGAAAAAGTAATTCGTAATATTTTTCATTACAATCTAAAACACAGAGCACAAGTCTTATTACGTTGGATGACGTAGTCAGCCAGCGTCATAAATTCGATCGATCTTTTCCATGGGAGACACAAATTGTCTTGTTTTTTGACTTTCCTATCCCGTGCCCGTCCCGAAAAATTGTGCGATTTTTATTGGCTGCAACAGACGAAAGCAACTGCGTAGAAAGTCAAAGTACAAATCGATAGAAAAGGAAGACGGCGTGTCTGAATTTGGCTGTATAATAGGGTTGTTATGTTGCTTCGTTTCGAAGTTGTGTTAGTTGTGTTAAAGCCGTGAATAGCTACACAGAATGTGATTTTTAGGCTGCGTTTAATTTGTCACCGAACCAACGAGTTCACCAACGGGTTCATAATTCGTAATCAAACCAGTGAGCTCACATGTAAACTTACCGAAGGAAATGCTATTTAAATATGAAATAAATATTGAAGCAATTTTCACACCGCAACGACGATTCTCTTGATCTGAAACTCTCCCGGTGAGGAGTCAGTTGCAAACTTCTACAGTGGTTCGAGAGCCATCTAAGTGGACGCGGTCAGCGGTGCTTGCTCAACGATTCACGTCAAGCTGCTCTCCAGTTCCATCAGGAGTCCCTCAGGGCTACATCCTCGGTCCTCTTGCTGTTTCTAGTTTATGTGAATGACTTCCCGAATCGAATTTCGCTCTTCGAAGATAACTAAAAATGTTCTAGAGTTATCGAAAGTCTACAAGACTGTGAGTCACTCCAAGGGGACCTGTACAGTCTGCAGTGCTGGAGCGGTGGTTGGCGCCTAACGTTGACACCTCCAATTCCATGTTGCGTCCGTTTTCACACCCTGTTGAATGCTGTTGGATGTTGTTGCGTGTTGTTGCGCAAAGTTTGAAACCGGTCAAACTTTTCAGCCAACAACTCCCAACATTTCTTTTGTTCCGTGATCGCCGAGGCGTAGCGTAACAATGTTGGATCCGTTTGCACAGCTCTTCCAACATTGTTGGGGCCACGCACGCTCATTACGCATGGTTTACAAAGACTTATGCGTTGTATCCTTCCCACGATACACTGCAGGTCCCAACATTGTTGGAAGTTGTTGCGTCTGTTTGCACGCAGCCTAAGACGCAGGCTATGATTCTTGGCAAATCCATTTATAACTACGAGCTTGCCTTAAAGTCAACTGATATACAAATTATCAATGAACTTAAGTTGCTGGTTGGTACGATTGATAATAAGCTTACTTTCTCTTCACATATTAAACTGCTTCTTAGTAAAGTCAATGCAATTGATAGTGACACCGCGCTTAAACTTTATAAGGCGTATATCCTCCCCCATTTCGACTATTGTAGCCCTCTCCTTATTATTAATCAGACCTTATCAGATAAGTTAGAAAATACTAATTATTATGTACTAAGAACTCTTCTTAAGTTATCGAAGTCTATCACGTACGAGGACATTTTGTCAAAGTATAACTTAAATATTATTGAGCAGAAGCGCCTAGTTGAAGCTCTCACACTTTTATTCAAAAGGCTATCCTAATTATATAAGTAATATGTTTAGTATAAAAAACTGTGCCTGTAATCTTCGAGGAACTGGTAGCAGACTTAATCAACCGGCCCCTAATACTACCTTCAAGCACAAATCCGTTTCTTATATTGCATGTAGACTCTGGAACCATCTACCTTCTCCCCCATCTAAAGAATTTCGTTGGTAAGCTCAAAGAACTTAAGTTGGGCCTGGAAGTGTGTCGCTGCAATGTCTGTGCTAGTTAGATTGTTTAATTCGTAAATAGAATAGGTATTTAATTTTTAATTTAATTTAGTTTATATGTAATTTTTATCATGCACGTACATTTTTGTAACGAGCCTTCGTTAGGCTCACCGATGTCACGTGTTTAAATACAGATTGATTGGTTAATGATTTCCACCCGTAGGCGACTTCCATATAAAAGTGACGGGGATGCTCGTCGTCTCGGTCTGGGGTGTAAATTGCAGATTTTTGTCTCACTTAGGGTGTTTGGGATGGAAAGTTACTATTATTTGCCCATTCAGGTATCGCTTAGTCCTGCTCATAAAGAAATTGCCAAAAAATGTTCGACACTTACCAGACATAAATCGTCTTTAGGGATCAGTTTAAGCGTTAGCCTCACCCACAGTGGTCTCCCTAAGGGGTTTAATTTGAATCTTCCGACGAGCATCACCGTCACTTTTATATTGGAGTCCCCCCCCGGGATGATTTCCTGTTGAATTCGCACGGTAAATTATCTTCATATCCAATCTTTAACTGAAGCTACTGCAAGAACATTCTTCAGACACTGATATAGTTCATTTCTTTTTTCTTGATGTAAGTGAGTTCTTTATACACGCATCGTTTCCCTATGGCTGCAGTTCTCTTAACGATCAAGTTCTTAGACGATCTAGAGCGACTTCCATGGATGGAAAAATTCACTAATTAGTTACTTCAGTGAAAGAGTTGACCACTTAAACCGGAATTTCCTTTGTATGCTAAATAAACTTGCTCCAGTTAAAAATGTTAAGATAAAACATCCCCAATGTCCTTTTGTGGACGAACAACTGAAATAGCATACTGAGTCACAGTTACTTAAGATTGCTCGAGAGACCAATTCGCCCCAGGATTGGCAAATCTACCGTGCATTAGCGGAATGATGTTAAGGTTCGTCTATGTGAGACCGAGTGAGAACAATCAGAACTACTTTCCTGTCAGAAGAATTGTTCTTAAATGAAGCACATATGATTGGCTATAAATCAACCCTCTTGGGAACAACGGATCTCGGAGAAGATCTAAAAATATCTTTAGAGGGATTACCATGGGTATTGGGCTTATATGAGGGATTAGTTCTCTGAGCTTATTCTCTCTTACTGTGAATGATACAATTTAAGTGATTACAGTGGACTTGCCCGAAATTGTTTTCCCTTTGACAAAGGTAAAAAAATGGTCAAAAAGTGGTGTCATCCTGACACCACTTGGTAGAAAAACGTTTTATCTCTTGAAGGCCTTAAACTGTTGTTTTGTAAACTGGTTTCTATTACGAGATATCCTAGTAAGTCCGAGACTTCAATCGGTGGCATACATTCGGTGACAAACTGCGTCGTTGGAATGGTGGCTGGGTCAACTCTAATAACCTTTATTTTTTTAAGATATCGCGCCTTTTTAAGATTACCTGCGTCTAAGATAACAACTTTATTTCCAATCTATCCATAAACAAACTTTACATTCGGTTACAATAGATGACACTTTCATGGTGTGAACGGGGAGCGAGCTTGAAACTTATGGAGTTTTTTAATTACATCAATGAAGCCCATGACACGATTATGTTCACGAGGGACTGATCTAGAGAAAGGATGTATTACCTGGATGTTCAGGTAATAAAAAACAAGGGAAAAATAAAGTCTGACCTATACATAAAGCCGATGGATAGAAACCAGTATTTGTAACTCACTTCATGCCATCCCCGGATGTGCAAGGATAGCATACCATGTGTCCAGGCCTTGAGACTTTAAAGAATATGTTCTACATTTGACTGGTTTGAGCACAGGGCTTCTGATTTACGCGGTTTTGTTGTAGCCAGGGAATATTAAAAACATTTGTTTTGAAGCAAATTAGGATAGTGAGATTGAAAACCATGCAGAGAGGAAACATTAACACCACGCCCTAGGAGTACTACTAACAGAATACCAATGGTAGTAACATACCATTCAAGCCTTCCTAACATTGGTGGCATTCTACAAGAACGTTAGCGGCTCTTACGTTTTTCAGACACGCGCGGGAAAGCCATCAAAGAGGTACCTTTCATGGCATTTCGAAGACCCAAGAGTCTGGGTGACTACCTAGTACACGCTAAGCGTGCAGCAAATACGGAGTGGTGCTCAAAGGGGACAGTGGTATGTGGTAGCAGACGATGCCAGGTCTGTACTGGGACCGGGTGAAAGGTGTACTTCGTACAAAACTGGAAAGAGTTGTGCTGTTAATTAAGAACTAGACTGTAATAGTAGTAATGTTGTATACTTGATGTCTTGTAAAGTATTTCATGCGCAGTATGTTTGGTCAACAAGAACAAAATTTAGGCTAAGGTTTAACAACCATAAGTCTCGTTTTAAAGCCCACTCAAGGCTCTCTGTTGATCGTAGAGATAAGGACGATCTTGTGTTGTCGTTATCAATGGTGTGTGATGCTTGTAATGGCCATTCACCCTGATGAAGGCTGGTAAAGTCGGTCGAAACATGGGTGAAAGACGAAAAACCATACCGTTTTCCTTTTCATTTGTAGTACTTTATATATTGTAAAGTGCTATTGATCAGCATTTGTAAATAGCGCTATATAAGGTATATAATTATTGCTATAATTATTATGTGAATGTTTTATTTTAGAACGTTCTTTTAAATATAGATTGTGAATGGAAAACAGCATGACAAAGATTGGTTGATAAGGAAACTTCAGAGTGCTTGTGAAGAACCATTTCAGGCAGTTGATGTAAGTAGTCTGTTAATAATATATAGAATTAGCCAGGGCTAAAAGCGAAGCCTCCGTTTATATAATTATAATAAAAGCCATCAAATTTAAACTAATAACATGAACTCTAAGCCAGAAAAAAGAAATTTTCACATCCCTATTAATAGAACTTTAGGAGCCTTTAGCATCAGTTCACCTTTAGAGGGAGGCATTAAATGGTTAAGAAAAAATATCCCGCAAACAAACCTGAAATGAAAAAATTGTGACATTATAGGTCTATTAAGTAGCAGCAATTTGCAGGTCGCGATTTTTAGGGTCAGTATTTCTGTCTAAGTTAAGGGAAGACCTGAAAGAAAAATCAGGCCAACTTAGGGACTTCTGTGTTCCCATTATATTTTTTCTTTTTTTTAACGGGCTCGGACGAACAGTCATGTGTAGCCTTTACATTTATACCTCACAAAATCTGAAACAAAATTTTACTGTAAGCCAAACGATAACCTTTTTCGCTACTAATAACCATAATTCAATCTTTAACGTGCACAAGCTGTGCGGTACGTGTTCAGGTGTTGTGCAGTGCATTCATGCTGAGAAACGTGCGATAGACTTACCAAAGGGGGGGTCATTGTGCCAGGTGTTCCTAGTGGAGACCGTGCAGCCACGTATGTTCTGCGAAGAAAGCTTAGGAAAGATTAAATTTAGAGCTTTTCCGAAACGTGTCGGTCCGCTTGAAAGCGTTGTTTTCTTTGCAACGAGTAAACACCATTGAGTGGTCGAAAAAAGTAAGAATCTTAATTAGCAAAACTGCGACGGTGTGATGAGCATGCGGTTTATTTTCGGCGATGACTGAAATGACGTGCCATGTAAATCACTTTTTTGATCTCTGGCAATGATGTAATTTCTCTGGAGTCGAGGCCCTTGAATTTTCGTGTATTTATACACGCTATAGCCTGCGACCGCAGAAGTATTTCCGGTCGTCGCTAACACGCGTACTAAATCATTTCAGAAACAAATAAAAAGTAAATATGTTCAAGAACACTAGACGTCGATAAAGTGGGAAGTAAAAAACCTTTCGCGAGTAAATCCTCTTTCGTGTAGAATTAATCCCCTCCTCATTTCTCGATCTAATCTTTAAGTAAGCGAGACTGAACGCCGCTGTAAGAACGTTTTTGTTAGTCTCGCTTGCGTAAGCAGCGAGACTCATAATCTAGAACGCATTTTTCGTCGTATTTAGGACACAAATGGGGGTCATTGTGCCCGGCGTTCCTTGCGGAGACCCTGGAAACTGGGAATGAGAATCGTTGCGTGATTGAAGCCGCGCATGTTTTGCGAAGAAACCCTAGGAAAGATTAAACATAGAGCTTTTTCGAAACGTGTCGGTCCAGAATTCTATCGCTTGAAAGCGTTGATTACTTTGGAACAAGTGAACACCACTGAGTGGTGGGAAAAAATTAGAATCTTAATTGGCAAAACTGCGATGGTCGGGTGTTGTAAACTTTCATTGTATGCAAATGTGATGAGTGTAGAATTAATTGCCTCCTCATTTCTCGATCTAATCTCCAAGCAAGCGAGAGTGATGGCCGCTGTAAGAGCGTTCTTGTTTTTCGAAAAAAGACAAACTCGGGCTCGAAAACCCGACGAGTTATGGAAAAAGAGCAGCATACCGCAAAATTCTTGAATGGCAGGTAATGAATAAGAAAATGAATAGCAACACTTCAGTTTTAATTCAAGAAAGGGGGGCAGCCCGTCTGAACTGTTTCTAAAAATCTCACGATCTTTAGTCTCACGACCTTGTTTTGAGCTATTGTTTTGAATGAACAATGGCAGATAAATAACCCATATAAAAAAAACCCCAAAAGTTAAACCCATAAGTTAATCCTTAAAAGCAATTTGCGTAACACTAACTGGATCGTGGATCCGTTCACGCAAGTTAAATCGGCTGAGTACGTCACAACGTGGCAAAATTCAACATAAATTCAATTTTAAATCGGGGTACATTTTGTGGTTTTTCTGTCACGCCGATGTCAAAATGTAGAAAACGTCCACGAAACCTTGATAGATACAAAAATTCTCTTTTACTTGACCATAGATTACAGAATGCACTTAAGCGGCAGTCTCCCTAAAAGCGTTCCACTCGATTTTGGACTCGAAAAAACTTTTGCCTCATATTTTTATCATCAACACTACTATCCATCCTGATAACGAAATTGCAGTTAGAATGAGGAAATTGTTTAATTTACTGCCATTCCCAGCATTTCATTGCTGGACGACCGTTAGCGGCTAAAATATGCAAATTTTAGTCTCTGCTATACAGGTTTTTTAACGATCGTTCTAAAGTTCTTCGGGTCATCAAATCCTAGACTATTGCACTCATTTGGAAGCATATTACTTCTTCTTACTGTTCCAATACCGTTTAGGCGTTATCTTTCTGTAATCAGCAAAAACTGGTCGTCTTTATTTCGCTAATCCAATTAAGAAAGCAAACTGCACGAGAAAATGCCTCAAAAACATCTCAAAATTCTCAAAAGTGGCACCTAAACTAGACCTAAAAACATGGTTTAGTTAAAGATTAATAGCTATTTTGTCGAGTTATGCAATAAAACTTGTGGCACAACGCGATTTAGAATTGAAGGTTTCAACTCAAATTTAGGCAAATGTTCAATTTGCGTTGCGTGACGATACCGGCTGCTGTCACAACAAAATCCTCAGTTATTCAAATACTTGCCACTTTTAAGCAAGATATGCCTCATTTTCCCACCAAAACTATATTAAAATTCCGTTTTTCCCTTTGCCAATGATACATATTGTTCAAAAATTAGTTCAGCAAGTAAAAGATACCTTTCCAAGCTTCATTTAATATTCCCACTGCCCCGAACATTCGTGTTAAGTCTGTTGTGTCAAGACGGAAAATACCTTTTCAGAACCAAACCTCTTCTAGCTTAAAATGTGGTCCAGTCTGAAAAAGCTGCATTGACCAGAAGTTACTCCGATCCATCATATTATAAAATCGAACGTTAGAAGAAAAGTAAATTTCCCACTGCTTAATTAAATATGTGTGAACAGGTCAGAAAATGTTTGACTTGTACTTCGCCCCACGTAAGGGTATCCGGATTCCGGAAACTGGAAAATTTTTGCTTGTAGGATCCGGAATCCGGGAAAATTTTGATATGAAATCCGGAATCCAGGGCTTTGGAATCCAGAATAGAGCTCAAGCACCCTACTAAGGAATGAAATTCCACCGGAAAAGACTGGAATCCAGCACCCGGAATCCTGAATCCATGGAATGGGATCCAGAATCCACGACTTTCTTGTATTCGCTAACATGGGGCGATAGTACTGGACTGTGAACGACGACTTACAATTTTCCCCTTATTTACCTTCCACTGATCAGGAGCCCATATTTGAAGACTTTGTTAATGAAATTTCAATTAGTAGGTTTCTTCCATTTCCTGACTGTTTCTTGAGGGGGGCGTAAGGGTTTGCGGTATTGCGGTATTGGGTTATTTTTGGTGCGGTGTTGCGGTAATTTTTGTTTCAAAGTACGGTATTGCGGTTTTCAGAGTCCAAGCGGTGTGCGGTAAGTTCAAATCTTATGTCGCGGTAGGCGGTGAAAAAATCGTTGTGTCGCGGTGATCTGCTTCTTTTTCATGACAAGAGGATACAAATTCTGAAAGGTCTCCCTAGCTAGCCTGCGTGACCTGCGTTTCTTCCTATAGTTGCACAGTCGGGGATCGTATATTGCGCAAACAGTCCAGACAAATCGTATGGCTTGTAATTTCAGTTAATACTTGATACGATTAACGACATTGACTTTTTTATCCAATGATACGTAAACATGTCACATTATATACAGCTATTTCGAGAACGGTTGTCGGAAAAAATGTGCAGGCGACAATCCCGAAAGGTAACACGGGATATGATCAATACGCTGTTCCTGACACTGTAGCCGTCGAACCTACTTTTGTTACTTTCCTTTATCACTCGTAAACATACTCCCATGGCCTTTCGTGCCATTCTTTCAAATTTATTTGAACAACAGTGAACTCAAAACCAACCACAATACCTTTCGGGATTGTCGCGCGCACTTTTTTCCGACAACCTTTCTCGAAATAGCTGTATAACCTCATGGACCTTGTGGAAATAGTCAGCTTGGTTAACCTCCTTACCAATCTTACCGCCACTTTCGTGCCGGTCGTAAAACAATGGCGAGCGATCCAGAGGGTCAACTGAGTGATCAGTCAGATATTCCAGCAAATAGTGAGGTCAGTGAGGTCGTTATAAATTGCGTAGTGTCGAAAGATAATCTATGAAGATGGTGTGGTCTAAAAATTATTACTCGTCCTTCTCGTTGTGCATGCAGGAATGTAGAATGTACTAGTATTCGTGTGTGCTTAGCCTGCAGGGCTCGAAATTAAAAACATCTTCAGGTCGCCTTTTGGCGACCAACCGGAGAAATGTAGTCGCCAGATGCAAATTTTTAGTCGCCAGTTTGTAATATGTAAATGACGCAGCTCATAGGTACAGGGCTTCTGATATTTCGAACAGTAGCGGAGCCGCGAAATTCACAAAAACTCGCAAAATACCGCGAAATTCAGTAGAAATCTTATCAAACACATGTCTGTACAACATATTTGAAACTTATCTCAGCTATTGGGGCTATTTACTTGCCCTAAACTTGCAAATTTATCTTCATACTTCGTCACTGAAACGTGCGACTACCGTCCCGAAACTGCAGCAATTATGTTGCGAAAAACTGGGCACTAGCCATGATGTTAAGGGCTTTGCCATTAGTTCATTTCTGGAGCGTATTGTTGTTGAAAGAGGAAATGATGACCTGTTAGAAAAACGTTAAAACGCTGGTCTGATCGGCGCAAAGCCGATCGACATCTGACAAAATTTTCCCTCAAAAATAACCACAAAATCGGCCTTTTTTACCGATTGATTTTCGGCGAAGTTTGGCCCAAACATTCCCGCGAAAGTGCCGCAAAATCGGCCGATTTCTCCGCGAAATTTGACTTTTTTCCGCTACCTATCAGAAACCCAGCATAGTATGGTGCGATCCATCAGATTTGAAAACTGAATATCATGAAGTCGGTATAAATTTGGAGGTAAAGTGGCTTTGTTTATGCGTTTTGGCACATTTTTCATGATGAAAGCAAAGCAAGATAAGATGAAATGTTTGTTATAATTTTACTCTTCTAAAATCTGGTCGCCACTTTGGCGACTAAACCAGAATTTTTAGTCGCCAAGGAGAAATGTTAGTCGCATTGGCGACCGTATCAGTCGCAATTTCGAGCCCTGGCCTACGTAGCATGGGGGCCCGGGGGGCGGGGGTACTTCCTTATAAGAGGCTAATGGGGATGTGCCGCTGGATGGGTCGCATTTTCACGACTGGATTGACTATAATGAGGTCGCATTTTCAGAGAGTTACTAGAATGGGGTCGCACATTTTCTGCTCTTTTGGGGCAAGACAGTTCTTCATATTTACGGTTAGCAAACATACCAGAATGTTTGTATTGTAGATGAAAAGTAAAGTGTTCTTCATTCAACCTAAAAAATGGTCAATTCATTAAAATAGGAAGTGACTAAGCTGGGATCGCGAAAATTGAATATTTGTCCAAAAGTGACTAAGATGGGGTCTATAATTGGCATGGGCACTGAATAGACTATAATAGGGTAGAGGCTCTGAGAGGCCAGTGGCACATACCAAGCAAAAATTAACCCAAGTACTCCTCCGGGCATGGCAGTTTTACGTGGTTTTGTCGGCAGCACGACTGTGAGCGGCTTAGCAGCTCCCGCCCCAATCTCCTTGCCCGCGCCCGCCTTTATTATTTAGCGCGCCCAACCAAAACCGCCATGCTACGCAGGCTAGTGTGTGCTGTGTGCCCTTCGAATCCCAAAGGCAGCCCGGGTCGACGTTTTGAAATTCTCAACAAAGAATCGGGTTAATTGTGAATCTGAAACAACCTCATAAGAGTCAACTGTTTACCGTCCGTTTATGATCTAGGTCAGTAATATATAAAGTAATACTAGAAAACTCCTGTTGTATCATTTATGTAAACGTATACATGTAATGAACAAAGTTAAACGAGTGGGATGATCTTATGTTTATCGTACGCTTGACATCGACGCATCATAATTTGGAAAGACTGACATAAAAGTATTATTTCTATTTGAAAGGAGGATTTTTAGTATTGACAACGTCAAATTTTCCCATTTGTAACTGCGGTTTCGGTATTTGGCTAAATTTTGATGCGGTATTGCGGTATTCTCGCGCTACCATGTGCGGTATTGCGGTATTCGTACCCCCCTTACGCCCCCCTCTTTCTTCCTATTAACAGTGGTCAGCGTTTGTTTTCACGCTCCAAGAGACAGTCTGGAGTCGTCTAAGGCTACTTTTGTATCGCAGCCAGTTAATAAAGAAGTTGGCACGCGCAAATAATAAAGTTTCAACATTAATTTCGAATCGTGCAACATCAGTGAAAGTAACAAGAAAATAAAGTGTGGAAGTTCACGCGTTTTTCCCAACTGATAAAAGTACACGATTGTCAGGACACCATTACTTCTTACCATGAAACCTGTCATCCATCGAAGTCTGAACTAAGTGAAGCCGACCCAATACTCTCAAAAGATGGTAATCATTGACCTTACGAAAAATCAAGTGGAACAGATGGCGATCTGCTTCCCCAGGAGGACTCCCATGCAAAAGTGACTTGGGCGCTCGTCGTTTGCAGATTTTGGTCTCACTTCGGTTGTTTGGGACGGAAAGTACCTAAATATGCTCATCCAGGTATCGCTTAAGGCTGTGCATAAAGAAATTTGCCAAAAAAAAAAACGCGGTGACGCTGACCTCACAGAAATCTCCTTTAGGGGTCAGTTTAAGCTTGAGCAACACCCACATTGGCCTCTCTTAGGGGTTTAAATAATAAATTATTAATTTTCCGACGAGCAGCCCTTCACTTTTATATGAAAGTCCTCCCGGGGATTACCCACAAATATCGGCATATAAACTCGGACGATTTTGGCGGACACCTCGTACAGAGGACCAAGAAAGGAATATTAGGACCAAGGACAGGCATGTAATTGGTGTGGAGATTGCTAAGATCGTATACCATCTATTTTAAAGGATGGGATCACGTACGTATAAAATCATAAAATCATTGCTAATATCCTTATCACTAGTTCCTTTATCTGTGATAAGATAACGACAAAAGGGCCAATGGGTATTGTCATAATCGTAACTTCAAGTTCAGACAATGATAAACTCAGTAGTGAGTGATGAAGTTATGGAGAAAAGTAGGAAGTGGCTTTAAGTCAAATATCCTGATATTAATCAGTGTTGCAGTATGGCATAAAGTTACACAGTCAGCTGATGCACTTGCACATTTGATATCATTTATTTATGAGCTGACGGATTTGAATATCACAAGATACACGCGTGAAACAGAAAGTGATAAGCGCATATCTAAACCTAATTTGGAGTCGGAGTTAAATTGCCAAAATCGTGATTACCTACCTTTAGGCATATTACTGAGAGTACTCATGACAATTGTTTAGTACCATGGAGAATTCACCGACAGAATTTTCTATTGAAGCCCAACGTGGACAAAAACCTCTGAATTCGAACAATCAGTAGAGGTGAGAACTGACGTGAAGTCTGAATCCGGCATTGTCGAAGGTTTCCCGAGCATGAACATTTCTCCAGGTCGAGACCCCTACACTGTTTTTACGTCTTTTCTCGTCTCACGTCTTGTTAGCGGTTACATTGTGTATTACCCTGTTCTTACAGACGCTTGCATTCTCCCACGTTAATGATGTAAAAATACATACATCTGAACAACAGCTGAAGGATCTAGGATCACATTTTTAAAAATCGGCCTTTGGACCCTCCGTGTGGATCCAAATTCATATTGATATCGATTTTACTAAATTAAGCGCCACCGCGTTTATCATTTCGTTTTTGCGACTACAGTGCGGCGCTCATTTGATGCACCAGCCTACCGCGGACAATTTTGTTGAGCCACTCAGAGAGGATCTTATTGCTTTTGTATGTCTGCATACCGAGATGCTATGACAAAGAATATAAAGACCGCAAATACTTCACAAATCTTATAAAAAAAATACAAAAACAAAAAACTAGCGAGATTGCATGCGAGTAAACAAAGATCTGGTACAAATTTCCCTAAAACAGTCAAATATAACAATATAACAAGCTTAACAACTTGACAGGCTAACGGTTTTATTCGGTGGTGGTATAAACAGGTTACAACCGAACACTGTCAGGCTACCCCTGGCTACTCAGTCACTTCACTCGCTGTCCATCACGAAATTGATAGAGTACAGCATTACCAGCATAGCACTAGCACTGTATATAGACAATCAGATTTGTGATCGAAGGCCGGTAGATTTATACATCTTAGAATTTATACTAATATCAAATTCCTAAAGGTGTCCGGACACTAACTTAATTCAATGTACATTTCACAGCTGATTTCATTTTTTTAAGGGCAAAAAACAATTTACTTGATAAGAATTTATAAGTACGAGACTTATTGTGGCGTAGACGTAATTAACGGATTGTTGATTTTACTTCTTTGAACTCCAGTCCACATTTTCTTAATTTTTCTTTAAGGACTACCGTGTACCATCGTCCCATATAGTGTAAAGGTGAATGTGTGAAGGACCTTCTAGCTACAAAATGTAAATTCTTCCACCTGTCACAAGACAGGAGAAGCATTGTTCTCGTTAATGTTATCTGTAAAACAAAAATGTTCGTTAGAACGCGATTGAAGTATGTCGAATAGCCTCTTCCAGACGTTCAGACTGTAGGGGCGACCCTCCAAGGGATGCCAGTAAGGAAAGGGCGAAGGGGTGGGGTAGGGAGAAATACGTATTTTTCCTGACCCACTCTACTAATAAGAAGGCCAACTACTGGGAGTCGAACAAAGGACGGCCGGCCGAGACTATTAATACCAAGGTCAGTGGAAAAGTAAACTTAAACTTCTACAAGCTTAACCTATTTACGATTTTTCTTGTTGATAAAGTAAAAAAAAAGAAACAGAAAAACAAAAACAAAAAACAGAAAAATTGTCTTTTGTAGGATCACGAAGAATTTTTTTACTGTCACTGCGGCCCGTGTCACGCCATGCGAATTCAGCATCAATATGCAAATTTAAGTCGAATCCTTCAATTCTGAATCGCGTTGTGCCACAAGTTTTATTGCATAACTTGACAAAATAGCTATTAATCTTTAACTAAAACATGTTTTTAGTTCTAGTTTAGGTGCCACTTTTGAGAATTTTGAGATGTTTTTGAGGCATTTATTCGTGCATCTTGCTTTCTTAATTGGGTTAGTGAAATAAAGACGACCAGTTTTTGCTGATTACAGAAAGATAATGCCTAAATGGTATTGGAACAGTAAGAAGAAGTAATATGCTTCCAAATGAGTGCAATAGTCTAGGATTTGATGACCCGAAGTACTTTTAAACGATCGTCAAAAAACCTGTATAGCAGAGACTAAAATTTGCATATTTTAGCCGCTAACGGTCGTCCAGCAATGAAATGCTGGGAATGGCAGTAAAATAAACAATTTCCTCATTCTCACTGCAGTTTCGTTATTAGGATGGATAGTAGTGTTGATGATAAAAATATGAGGCAAAAGTTTTTTCGAGTCCAAAATCGAGTGGAACGCTTTTAGGGAGACTGCCTCTTAAAGTTTCTTCAAAAACCTCGCTGCCTTGGTTCAAAGCAAGCCCAGCGCAACGCCGTGAAGAAAACAAGGTTGAATTCCTCGAAAGACAATTTCATAACGAAAAACTTTTGTTTGTCCATGAAAAGGAAACTGACCATTCTTTTGAGTTTTCCATTTGTATCTTTTATCGGCGTATTTTCAATGTTGAAATGCAAAACTTTGGTCTTAATGAACGCGCGCCAGCCATTTTGTTGGTGGATGTCATTTACTAAGGTGTTAAATCCGTTTCTTCCCCATCCCCTAAGGGTTGATCATTTGACTTTTGTGGCGGGGTATGGGTGATTTAGTTTGGGTAGGAATTTTTTTCCCATACCTCTGGAGTTAGAAATCTTTTAGTTTATGCCTAGTTTGTACGTCAAAATTAATTCAGACGAATTTAATTCAAATTGTTTCATTTTAATTCATTTGTTTCAGAGAAATGAAAATGAAACAAATTTTTAAGAGAAAGTGTACCAAAAATGACATATGTTGTTGTTATACCAATTATGCGTCTTTGTTAGCGTTGAAATTAAAAGGATGGAAAATGCTTCTTGTTCGAGTTCGTTTACTGCTGTGGTGTCGCAGTCAGTTCAGAAATCACTTAGAGTTAAATGAAAACTAAATACAAGTTCTATTTTTAACCTGAAAGCTTTTGTTACTGTTGCTATTTTAGAAAGTAAAAGTACTGAGACAAAGACCTAGGCAGGTCAGCAAAACAGCATTTATGTACAAAGGGTTACAATGTGAATTAAATTGCAAGTTCAGCTATCGGCTGTTTAAACATGAAAAGCGCAGACTAAAACAAAAACCGACCTAATGGCGTTACTATAAATAAATGTCGTCCGGTAGTAAAATCACGAAAAATAGACTAAAGTCAAATAAACCATTATTAAGAAATGAAGTATATTCTTTCAAGAGTCAACATTGAAGTAAAATGTGTATAATGGAAAAGAGAACGAGCAATTAGTTTTGTTTGTTAACGAACACTGTTGGCCGTTACCTGGCGCACACCTGGCTGTTACCTGGCGCACACAAAGCAAATGAAACAAAGGATAATAAAAATGGCACGAGCCTTTTTGCGGAGCTAAAACTTCTTTATGCAAATTCAGTATGAATTGCTAAGAACAAAGTCAAAGCGAATATTTGCAAGCTATATACGATATTCGAGGCAAATAAACAATTCATGGAAAATCTCTCCTCTCATTTCTCCCACCTTAAAACTTTCGATGTCCACGTCGAAGAAAACTGAACTATAGGTACGTAAGGCTTCTAGGACGAAAAGGGCACGGGACAAGAATAGCTTCGATTTCGTAACTGATAACAGAACTAGGAACTTTGAGCTCACTCTTATCTGTTACAAACTGCTTACAAACTTCGTCTCCCTTAGGTATATCTTTATGGCACAACGTACTTGAAATTAGCTGGACTAAACGGTACTGAAACGTATGAGTCTCATGACAATTGCAATTCCTATATGAATCTCTTTTTCGTGTTTCGTCTGCGAACTATGTAAACTATAAGCTGATTGCCTGGAACGGTATTTTGCTACACAACTACCTAACACCAATCTATCTGGGCTAAAATAAGTTCTTTGGGTGTCACGGTGGCTGCTTCACAAATACGGAATAGGCATTCCTTGGATCTCTCTTTCAACGGTGCTCATGTCACTGTGCGATGGGTTCACGTGGGAACTTTCTTGGGAAAAGAGTTCGTGTTTTAGTGGAGAACTGCTTCGGTGAACGTCATACACTGGTCTTGCTGGAAAATCGACATCACTTGACGTCATAGGTGGAAACTTTTTTGTAATTCTCTGTGTGACTGGCTGAGGCGGCTTTCTCATTTTCGTCTGAGATTCATCATTTGCTTGTCCAATTTTATAGGGCTCTTTGGGTTTGTGGGGCACACTTGAACGGGTACACTCGCAGCGCTTGTTATGTCAAAAGCTTGCTCTTGTGTGGCAGGTATCCGAGGAGTCATCTGAGCTTTGTAAACGTTTTGGTCAGGCACCGTTGCGTGCGATGCAGTCAGTAGGTATAAAGCGATACAAAGCGTGGTCAAAAGGGATTGATGGATCAATAAACGAGACACATCCGTCTTTCCACTGTGGCGGGTTGTGGGTATCTGCTGGAAACGGCGATAACTTTCTCGTGGCACATTTGTTTCATCGGAGGTTGATGGGAAGAATAACGTTCCTATGAAAGCTGGGTGTAGGGCCTGTTTCTGCGAGGCTCTTTGTTTCATAGGATTTCTCTTTGTGGCAGACCTTTCTTCAGTGAATTCTTCATGTCGGTTTGGCTGTACGGGGCTTTGATCGCAAGCCAGGCCTTTTCCTAATTCTCTTTCAGGTACGTCACTGCCGCCACCCAACTGTAAGGTACTCTCCTTTATGCACCTATCAATGTAAATCCCGTGGTGGGGGAGTGCAGGCAAGGGACGGGGATTTGATGCCTGAGACTATCCCCCTGTCGGGCTTTTGATCGTGCGAAGCGACCCCGGGGTCGGGACATTTGACTTTGACTGACAGAAGCCTGGTATCAATTCAGAAGCGGTTGCCAAGTCCGTCCCTCGAGGCTTTCTGAAAGTCACGCTGTTGGAGAAAGGTGTGAAGTTTTCATTTGTTTTAATCGCCATAATCCGATACTTTAAACTGTCATCTAAACAGATAATGTCTATTTTGAGAAAGTTTTTATCTTCAAGTTCCCATTTGATTGTAAATCTCGATTGAAATCGAATTCCACCATGAAAGTCAGAGGATTTTTTACAGGTCACTGATCCGACCTGTTCCGACATGTTGAGCAGATGTTATAAAGCATTTTACGTTTCATTAATATTATAATAGCACGGTCAATCTTCCTAGAGTGATTTTGTTGTTCAAAATAAGAGATGCTAGTGGAGAGAGAAAATACTTAATTACAGCGAGTAATTTAACGGAGCTTACGTTTAGTAAGGACGTACTTTTGAAATGTTCTTTTAATTCGTTTTATACAGTATTATAGTATTGTTTGTTTAGATTCTTTCCCCTGGGGTGGGGGCTTTTTTGACACTTTTGATTGACCTTT